AAAGAAAAAAACACTGGGGCACCTGGATGGCTCAGTTGGGTGAGCATCCAACTCTCAGTTGGCTCAAGTCATCATCCCAGAGTTGTGGGATTGAGCCCTATGTCGAGTTCTGTGCTGGCAGTGCAGAGCCTGCTTGGGATTCTCTTTCTCCCTTCTCTCTGCCTCTCTCTCTCTCTCTCCCTCAAAATAAATAAAATTGTTCTTAAAAAAGCCACAAGACAAAAGAAGACAGTTACATACAAAGGAAACCTCATAAGGCTATCAGGTGATTTTTCAGCAGAAACTTTCCCAACTGGAAAGGATATATTCAAAGTGCTGAATGGGAAAAACCTGCAGCCAAGAATACTCTATCCAGAAAGGCTATCATTCAGAATAGAAGGAGAGATAAAGAGTTTCCCAGACAAATAAAAACTAAAGGAATTCATGACCACTAAATCAGCCCTGTAACAATTATTTAAGGGTAGTCTTTGAGTGATAAGGAAAGACCAAAAATGGTAGTATGAAAGTAGGAAACACAAAAGCAGTAAAAATGCATATTTCTGTAAAAACTCAGTCAAGGAACTCACAAAATAAAATTATGTAAAATATACCATATACCTAAAATGTGGGGAGGGAAGGAGTAAAGAATGGGTTCAAATTTAAACAACCATCAACTTAATCTTCTGCTATATGCAGAAGAGGTTATATACAAACCTAATGGTAACTACAAATCAAAACCACTAATAAATACGCAAAGAATAAAAAGAAAAACATCCAAATACATCGCTAAAGAAAACCAGTAAACCATGAAAGAGAGAAAGACAAGAAAGAATCAAATAAAATTTCTAGAAAGCACCACTAAAATAAGTAATAAAATGGCAATATATACATATCTATCAATAATTACTTTGAATGTAAATGGATTAAATGGCCCAATCAAAAGACACAGGATGAGAGAATGGATAAGAAAACAAGACCTATCCAAATGCTGCCCACAAGAGATTCATTTTAGACCTAATGATATCTGTAGATTGAGGGGATGGAGAAACATTTATTATCCTAATGCATGTCAAAAGAAAGCCAGAGTAGCTATACTTATATCAGAAAAAATCTACTTTAAAACAAAGACTGTAACAAGAGATAAAGAAGGACACTATATAATAACAAAGGGGACAATCTAACAAGAAGATACAACAATTTGTTTAATGTTTATTTTTGAGAGAGAGAGATGGAGTGCGAGTGAGGGAGGGGCAGAGAGAGAGGGAAACAGAATCTGAAGCAGGCTCCAGGCTCCAAGCTGTCAGCACCCAGCCCGATGCGGGGCTTGAACTCACAAACTGTGAGATCATGACCTGTGCCTAAGTCAAACGTTTAACTGACTAAGCCATGCAGGTGCCCCATGAAGATATAACAATTGTAAATACTTATGAACCCAGCTTGGAAGCACCCAGATACATAAAATGGTTAATAGAAATATACAATAACGGATAATAATACAATAAGAGTAGGGGACTTTAACACCCCACTTACATCAATGGACAGATCATCTAAACAGAAAATAAAGAAGGAAACAGCGGCTTTGAATGACACAGTGGAGCAGATGAATTTAACAGATATACTGAGAACATTCCATCCTAAACAAAACAGCAGAATATACATTCTTTTCAAGTGCAGATGGAACATTCTCCAGAACAGATAACATATTAGGGCACAAAACAAGCCTCAACAAATTTAAAAAGATCAAAGTCATACCATGCATTTTTTCTGAGCACAACACTATGAAATTAGGAGTCAACCATAAGAAAAACCTGGAAAGACCACAAATATATGGAAGTTAAATAACATACTACTAAACAATAAATGGGTCAAGCAGAAATAAAAGAAATTAAGTACATGGAAACAAATGAAAACAAAAACAACAGTTCAAAACCTTTGGGATACAGCAAGAAGTGATTCTAAGAGAAAAGTTTATATCAATACAGGTCTATCTCAAGAAGCAAGAAAAATCTCAAATAAACAACCTAACTTTATACCTAAAGGAGCTAAAAAAAGAACATACAAAATCTAAAACCAGCAGAGGGAAGGAAGTAATAAGAATTAGAACACAAATAACTGATATATAATCAAAACAAAACAAAACCAAAACAACAGAGCAGATAAATGGAACCAGGAGCTGGTTCTTTATAAAATATCAATAAAATTGATAAACCTCCAGTCAGACTTATCAAGAAAAAAGGGGGAAAGGACCCAAATAAGTAAAATCACAAATAAGAGAGAAGAAATAACAACGGACACCACAGAAATATAATTCTAAGAGAATATTATGAAAACTATATGCCAACAAATTAGACAACCTAGAAAGATATACCGACCAAAGCTAAAATAGGAAGAAATAGAAAATTTGAACAGACAGATCATCAGCAAAGAAATGAAATCAATAATCAAAAAACTCCCAACAAACAAAAGTTCAGGACCAGGTGAATTCTAATAAACGTTTAAAAAGGAGTTAATATCTCTTCTTCTCAAACTATTCAAAAAAAATGAAAAGGAAGGAAAATTTCCAAATTCATTCTATAAGGCCAGCATTATTCTGATACCAAAATCAGATAAAGACACCAAAAAAAAAAAGAACTGTAGGCCAATATGTGTGATGAACACAGATGCAAAAATCCTCAACAAAATGCTAGCAAACCAAATCCAACAATACATTAAAAAAACAATCATACACCATGATTAAGTGGGATTTATTCCTGGGTTGCAATATTTGCAAATCAATCAATGTGACATATCACATCAGTAAGAGAAAGGGTAAGAACCATGTGATCATTTCAACAGATGCAGGAAAAAAAAGCATTGACAAAGTACAACATTCATTTATGATAAAAACCCTCAACAAAATAGGGTTAGAGGGAACATTCCTCAACATCATAAAGGTCATATATGAAAAACTGACAGCTAATATCCTCCTCAGTGGGGATCAACTGAGAACCTTTTCTCTAAGGTCGGGAACAAGACAAGGATATTCACTCTCACTACTTTTATTCAACATAGTAGTGGAAGTCCTAGCCACAGCAATCACACAACAAGAAATAAAAAGGCATCCAAATCAGTAAGGAAGAAGTTAAGACTTTCATTATTTGCAGAAGACATGATACTATATATAGAAGACTCCACCAATAAACTGCTAGAACTGGTAAACGAATTCAGTAAAGTCACAGGATATAAAATCAATCTACAGATATCTGTTGCATTTCTATATACCAATAATGAAGCAACAGAAAGAGCAATTAAGGAAACAATTCCATTTACAACTGCACCAAAAATAATAAGATACCAATGATTAAACCTAACCAAAGAGATGAAAGACCTACATTCTGAAAACCATAAAACACTGATGAATGAAATTAAAGATGACACAAAGAAACTGAAAGACATTTCATGCTCATTGATTGGAAGAACAAATATTGTTAAAATATCTATATCACCCAAGGCAACCTACACATTTAACGTAGTTTCTATCAAAATACCAACAGCATTTTTCACAGAGCTAGAACAAATAATCCTAAAATTTGTTTGGAACCACAAAAGACCCCAAATAGTCAAAACAATCTTGAAAAAGCAAAGCCATAGGCATCACAATTCTAGACTTCATGTGATTTTACAAAGCTGTAGTAATCAAAACCGCACTGTACTGGCACAATAATAGACACACAGATCAACCAAAAGAATAGAAAATCCAGAAATGAACCCACAATTATATGGTCAATTAATCTTTGACAACGCAGGAAAGAATATCCAATGGGAAAAAGACAAATGGTTTTGGGAAAACTAGACAGCATGCAAAAGGAAGAATATGAACCACTTTCTTACACCATACACAAAACTAAATTCAAAATGGCTTAAAAACCTAAATGTGAAATCTGAAGCCATAAAAATCCTAGAAGAGAGCACAGGCTGTAATTTCTCTGATGTTGGCCATAGCAACTTTTTTCTAGATGGGTACCCTGAGGCAAGGGAAATAAAAGCAAAAATAAACTATTAGGACTACATCCAAATAAAAAGCTTCAGCACAGTACAGGAAACAATCAACAAAATTAAAAGGCAACCTAAGGAATGGGAGAAGGTATTTGCAAATGACATATCTGATAAATGGTTAGTATCCAAAATACATAAAGAAATTATAAAACACCCAGAAAACAAATAATCCAATTAGAAATGGGCAAAAGACATGAACAGATATTCCTCTAAACAAGTCATACAGGTGGCCAATCTATATGAAGAGATGCTCATCACTTCTCATCAGGGAAATGCAAATCAAAGCAACAATAAGATATCACCTTACACCCGTCAGAATGGCTAAAATCACAACACAAGAAACAACAGGTGTTGTGAGGATGCAGAGAAAAAGGAACCCTCTTGCACTGTTGGTGGGAATGCAAACTGGTGCAATAACTCTGGAAAACAATATGGAAGTTCCTCAGAAAGTTAAAAATAGAACTACCCTATAACACAGCAATCGTACTCCTGGGTATTTATCCAAAAAATAAAAAACACTAATTCAAAGGGATACAAATCCTCTATGTTTACAGCAGCATTATTTACAATAGCCAAACTATGGAAGCAGCCCAGTGTCCGTCAATTGATGAATGGATAAAGAAGAGGTGGTATACATAGACAATGGAATATTACTCAGCCATAAAAGAGAATAAAATCTTGCCATCTGCAACAACATGGAAGGAGACAGAAAGTACAATGCTAAATAAGTGAAATAAGTCTGTTGGAGAGAAACAAATACCATATAATTTCATTCAGATGTGGAATTTAAGGAAAAAAAAAAAAACAAAACAAGGGAAAAGAGAGAAAGACACAGACCAAGAAACAGACTCTTAGTTATAAAGAACAAACTGATGGTTAGTATCCAATATCCTTACTAGAAGGGAGGTGGGTGGGGTGGATGGGTGAAATATGTGATGAGCACTGGGGGATTTAAACAGAAAAAGATAAGGAGTCATTTACTTTACCTTTGGTTTTTTGGGCAGGGATTAGGATTACATGGATCCTTTGAGATGCATGATCCAAACTCAAACTGATGGTCTTGGAGGCCCACACAGCGAGCAATGCAGGCGCTGGGGTAAGTGCGTCCATTCTGCCCACACACGGGGACAAACTGATCTGCACAGTTACAGGGCAGACCTGTGGAGAGGACACAGACTCACTGAAGGAAATGATGTACATTTCCTTGCTCTTCATATTTCCCAAGTAACTGGAGGTCTCAAGTTAAAATAAAATTGTAAATTGAATCAGGAAAAAGCATCCAATCTCTGACAGTGTTTTTACAGGTGGAGAGGCTCTGAAAAGCCATTTATCTGCATGATGGCTTTCCTTTGTTCCATTTATTACCACTTAATTGAGGGTTTCTAGACCTTGATCCCAGGGGTAGAGACCCATATAAAAAAAAGCTATAGGTAGGAGAAGTAGAGAATGCTCCTCTCAGTCCAGTATGTAAAATCTAGAACTTAGATGTATGAAGTCCGGCTTGGGGGATTTCTGGAATGTTAAAGGGTAATATCAAAAGAACAAGAAAGTAACTTGGGAAATTACTTTAATTTTGAGACTTAAAAATTTTTATGAGTAATCAACCAAGAATTCTACTTTCTTAATATTCCTATGCTTTACGCTGCTGGGATTATGCTCCAGCAAGTAAAAAGGCTACCGAGAAGGGATGCTCTTTTCTTGAGAGGCAGCTGTCACTGTTAACAGCAACAGCACAGTCTCTGGGTATCTGCTGGTATCTGCTTTTCTCCAGATCTGGAATGCCTTTGATTCCAGGTAAAGAGGAACCAGGTAGCCTCCTGTACCCCATTTCATGCCACGGCAGCAGCAAGTTGATTCTTCTTTCCCTGGAGTTAGTTATACGTGGAACGGGGTGGGAGGAGGGTAGATTAGGTATCTGCCAACCTGGGACCTCCAGCCCACTGGGAATAAAAAGGAAATTAGAAATAACAAGTGAACAGCAGGCCGCTGGGGAAGTAAAAGCAGGCGTGTCTCCACCGCACCCTCTCCCCACCTGGAGTAGCAGCCCTGATGCTTTACTGTCATCATTGTTGTTGCTCTTATTATTATTATTATCCTCTATCTGCTCTGCTTTGGTGAGAGCAATTCATTCTGCTTAGAGAGACCATAAAACCATGTGGGGATGAAGAGTGAACTAACGATTTATGCAGCAGACTACTTACTTACTTATTTACTTATATCTAAATGTTTTTGGAAGATGAACTTCATAACTAGCAGGACCCTTTTCCCTATAGTGTGTAGCCCCGCAGGTGCTGGGATAAATTAAGTTAGTGACTGTTTAGTTAGCAGATTCTAAGGAGATTTTATTGGCCACAAAGTGTACCACATTTCTTGGGACTCAGATATTGTCCCAGCCCAAACAAGACTCAGAGACATTCATAAAAATCCTTAAGCCTCAAAATTACAATAATTCCCAAGCTACTTTCTTGTTCTTCCCCTCCCTTAATGTGATGAGAGTGGAAGAAACCTACATGAAGAGTTTACAATCTTTGTCTTTGTCTTGTTTTCGGTATTAATTACCCTTTGACATTCCAGAAATCCCCCAAGTCAGACTTCAAACATTTAAATTCTGATTTTGTTTTAGTGTTTTATTTATTTCTGAGAAAGAGAGAGAGAGAGACAGTGTGAGCAGGGGAGGGTCAGAGAGAGAGGGAGACACAGAATCTGAAGCAGGCTCCAGGCTCTGAGCTAGCTGTCAGCACAGCTGACAGCCCAAAGCGGGACTCAAACCCACGAACCGTGAGATCATGACCTGAGCCGAAGTCGGACGCTTAACCAACTGAGCCACCCAGGCATCCCTTAAATTCTAGATTTTATACACTAGACTGGAAGGAAGATTCTTTACTTTTTCTACCTATAGCTTTAGAGGGGTCTCTACCTAATGAACTAGTAAGCTAAGGCAGTTCATGGAAGAAGATTATGAGAAAAACATTAGAACAGAAACAAACTTAGAAAATACATGTACATTTTACAACATAATGGCAGGGGGAGATGGGGTACGTGGGCAGGTAGAAAAGTCCCATTTAACCAAAACCATCCCAATCACTGTTCTTTTGACTCATGGAATTCCAGAATATTAGAGCTGGAAGGGCCCTAAGAAACCATGTAGTTTAATGCCTTCGGTTCATAGAGGAGGAAACAGACCCAGAGAGGAAAAGTACCTTGCTCTCGGATTATGTATTTGTCTTACTGTGTACAGCTGCGGTTATGGCCAGCCCAGTGAAGTTGCCTTGAAGGGAAATGGATACAAAGAGATGATGGCTGCTGAGGACATGTTCTGGGTGACCACGGTTACCTGTGAAGGTGCGACGGTCATCTTCTGAACTGTGCTCACTGAGGCACAGGCGGGTAGAACACACCAAATTGCCAGCGAAACAAGAACAGATATTGCAGTCAATGTTAAAGGATGTCCCATGACCTGAGAAAAAAAGAAATAAAATGTTGATCTATTCTATGCATTTATAAATATATCATACATTTAAAAATGTAATAGTTTAAATAAAGTTTTAAAATAGAAATTCTTGAAAGATGACTTATGAATATACAAACTGGGGGAGTTAAATCTGTAATATTTATATTTTCTTATTTAATTCCCACCATATCCTTCCAAACCCTAATGTGCTAGTCTCACCAGATGGCTCCCTATTCTCTGAGAATGCTTCCGGCTGTCCCTTCTGCCTCACATGCTCCTCTCCTTCTGGAATTTTGCTCAAGTCTCCCAAACCAGCCCTGATGCCATCTTTGAATCAAAGACTCCCCTGATGCCCTGGTAGGAGTGACTAGGTTCTTGAAGGGCACCACTTGGTTTGCTCCCTTCTGTGGCTCAAATTCTCCCCCATCTGATCATGTACAGTATGACCTCAATCCCTCAGGCCAGTTTTAGCCCCATAAGGCACTAGTATGTTCTTCTGTAAAAAACAGGCCTTTAATCAGTGGAGTCTATGGAAGGAATGAATTGTTTATCCTCGGATATATTCTGTGGTCCAAGGTACCTACCCTACACTTTGGCTAAATAGAATATGGATTAAAAAATGAATACCTAGGGGTGCCTGGGTCGATTAAGTGTTGGACTCTTGATCTCGGCTTAGGTCATGATCTCATGATTAGTGAGACTGAGCCCGAATCAGGCTCTGCACTGACAACACGGAGCCTGCTTGGGATTCTTGCTCTCCCCTTCTCTCTGTCCCTACCCTACTCATTCATTTTTTTTCTCTCTCTCTCTCAAAATAAATAAACTTAAAAAAATGAATACATGACTTGTTCTAGGGCAGACACTTGCAGCCTCTTTTTAGCCAAAAGATCTTCTTTCAAATGAGATCTCACATGGAAAAGTAAACCAACAGTTATATAAAATCTGTACTCTGATTGATGGGGATGGGGATGGAGGTAGGGGTGAGGGTAGCAGAGTGAACGCTGTGGGGGAGTACATTCTCAAAAGTAGCATTTTTTTCACAATTTTATTATTATTATTATTAATGTTTTATTTATTTCTGAGAGAGAGAGAGAGACAGCATGAGCAGGGGAGAGTCAGAGAGAGAGGGAGACACAGAATCCGAACACAGAGCCCGATGCGGGGCTCGAACCAACAAACCGTGAGATCATGACCTGAGCCAAAGTTGGACGTTTAACTGACTGAACTACCCAGGCATCCTGTTTTTCACAATTTTTAAGGTCATATATTGACATGAATGGTTGTTAGGAGTATAAGCAAAAAATGGTTAAGGAAGCAGTGAGAAAGCAAGACTCTCAGACTTTTAGAGAGGGCATCAAAGGGTGGTATTTTTTTTTTTTCTTCCAAGATTTTATTTATTTATTTATTTGGAGCAAGAGTTGGGGGAGGGCAGATGAGGAGGGAGAGAGAAGAGAGAGAGAAAGAGAGAGTGAATCTTAAGCAAGCTTCATGCCCAGTGCAGAACCCCCACTGGGCTCGATCTAATGACTGTGAGATCAGGACCTGAGCCAAAATCAAGAGTTGAACACTTAACTGGCTGAGTTACCCAGGCGCCCCCAAGATTTTATTTAAATTCAAGTTAGTTAACATGGAGTGTAGCATTTGTTTCAGGAGTAGAATCATGTAGATGTAACACCCAGTGTTCATCACAAGTGCCCTCCTTAACGCCCATCACCCATTTAGCCCACCGCCCCCCCACCTCTTTCCAACAACCCTCAGTTTGTTCTCTGTAGTTAAGGGTCTCTTATGGTTTGTCTTTCTCTGTTTTTATTTTGTTTTTCTTTCCCTTCCTGTATGTTCATATGTTTTGTTTCTAAAATGCCACATGAGTGAACTCACAGTATTTGTCTTTCTCTGACTGACTTATTTCACTTAATATAGTACACTCTAGTTTCCTTCCCATCACTGCAAATGGAAAGATTTCACTCTTTTTCATGGCTAAGTAATATTCCATTATATGTGTAAAAAGGATGGCACTTCGTAACCTGCTCTCTTCCAATGCTTAGTCAATAGTGTAGTTCCCATCCTCCAGTTCGCTTTCCACCATCTCAAACTCTAAAGTTTACTTCCAGTGAAGACATACAATTGAGGAGAAAAAGCACACCTGTGTCCTTGCCTGTGGCATACACGGGCTCTGGAATCAGACAGGTCTGGGACTGAATTCTGTTTTGGTCACTTACTAGCTGGGTGAGCATCAACTTCTTCATAACAGTACTGAACCACAGAGCAGCCGGGAGGCTCACGTGATAACACAGGCCAAGACTTAGCGTAGCGCTTGGCACACAATTAAAAGCTCAGTAAGTGCTAATTAATTATTATTAGTTATTAGTCCCTTCTTAAGGAGGCTCCTAAGAGGTTCCTTAGAAATCTTAGTGTCCTGGGGTACCTGGGTGGCTCAGTTGGTTGAGCGTCCAACTTCAGCTCAGGTCATGATCTCGCACTTCATGGGTTCAAGCCCCACATCGGGCTCTGTGCTGATAGCTAGCTCAGAGCCTGGAGCCTGCTTCGGATTCTGTGTGTGTGTCTCTCTCTCTGACCCTCCCCTGCTCATGCTGTCTCTCTCTCTCTCTCTCTCAGAAATAAATGAAAACATTAAAAAAAAAAAATCTTAGTGTCCTGTAGAGTACAGTTCGGAAAATACTTCCCTGGAGGATCTGATTTGTAGACCTTACTCTGGTGGGAATCTATCCAATGTCCTTCCTACAAAGTTAAGAGAAATAATCTCATATTAAAACCAAAAAGCAAATATAAACAGTCCAAGACTCACTTTTTCTTTTTCCTCCAACAATACATGACTTCTGAAGATCTATACAGTGCATCTCCATACAGTTTTCCAAGAGTCCACTTTGTCCACATGAGCAAATTTTATAACAACCAACTTCCCCGGCAGATGATGGTACCTGGATTAGTGTCCCTTGACGGACGATGAAATCAGAGGCTTCTCCCAATTTGCAACCTATACAAACAAAAATTAGCTTAGAGAGATAGCATTGTTCTATGTCATTGTTTTATGACATTACATATACTTTACATAAGTCTCATAGAGGTACTGTGTGGCTATTGAACATTATGTAATAGCACTAAGTTAAAGAATTGGTTTGATTCACTAACCAAAACATATCATCTCAAATGAAAAATTCCATGTTCCATGAGAAGATGCTGATTAAGGACCTGTACCCCAAAGTTAGCTACAGTTCAGTACAAAAATACTATAAGATATGTACTTTTTATTGCTTTGGACTTATCAAAGATATTTAAAAATCACAGATATTTTAAGAATAGAGTATGGAAATGGACAATATTTTTAGAATATTCTCGGTCAGGAAAACTTTTAGTGTTGGAATACAAGCATACCTTAAATTCATAGAAAAGCTGAATACTTGATTGGGCTTAAGGAAAACCCATTCATTTCTAATTTTAACAAGATTTATCATGACTCTGTAACTGATATATATATTTCTGATATATTATAGATCCTTTGAGACATCAGCTTTATTTAATTCAATCTTCTACTCCTTTTAACATCACAGATATTTTTCAATGGTGATTTTAACATAATAAACATTTTCAATTGGGAAATAGATAAAAGGCAACAAAATATTGCCACAACTGTACTCTAAAGGGATGCACAATGAGATAAAGACTTTCAAAATTCTATGGGATAAACATTTTTTATTCAAGAGGCCTCCTGCATTTCAAAAACAAAAATATCAGTCTTAAAATCATATGCATCCTGGAGAGCTGGGGGGGGCTCAGTCAGTTAAGTGCCCCACTCTTGATCTCAGCTCAGGTCACTATTTCACAAATTTGTAAGAGTGAGCCCCTCGTCAGGCTCTGCTGACAGTGCAGAGCCTACTTGGGATTCTCTCTCTCCCTCTCTCTGCCCCTCCCCACCCCAAATAAATAAACTTAAAAAAATATCACATGCATCTCAATAAAACATTAAGCTTTATGGAGATAATTACACATCACAGTGAGTGTGCCATTTCTCCATATAACTAAAGGGAAGAAAAGAAAAAAATCACAACATGCAGATTTTCTCAAATGTTACAACATGGAAGAAAATACACAAAAAGTGGCTCAAGAGTTTTTATTCTTTTGTTGCCAAGAACCCTATAACTCATTATGAGAGTCAGTTCACAATCTAAATGATAATTGAAAATTATATTTGTCTTTGTCTTCTCCTGCCTATTTAACTAACACGTGTTTATTGGGAAAACCTCAAATGTTACAGAAAAATATAAGTTAGAATCTAAAGTCTATTGTAACCTCACTATTCCAAAGATAATGCCTATACAGAAATACCAGTAGCAATCCATACCCGCCCTACATTCACACGCATCTGCCTCTTACCTTGAACACAAACATATGGAAGGCAGGGATCTCCAGACGGACACCCCTTCCGGTTTACCTCACAGAGCTCATTAGCAGGGCAAGGGTTTGGGTTACAGGGATGAGTGACCTCTTCTACAATGTTACCCAAAGTACTAGGCCCTGAAAAACAAAACACAGATCAGTTTAACCAACCCCAGAAGGAAATGGAAGTCTGTAAATTATCCGAATTAATTATGGCTTTAATAAATGGAGAGCTCATGAGCATAACATAAGGCCTGATTCTAATAAACTACTAAAATACAGAGATTCTCTGATCATTTGTGAATTTAGCAACATACATTCATTCACCTGCTTATTTATTGGGTACCTACAATATGCTGGACAAGTTTCTAAGCACTAGAGACATAGTGGTTAACAAAACAGATAAATCTCTAACATAGAATTTACATTCTAGTTGGAAACTATACATAAATAGACTGGGCATCTGTGTGTGCACATGTGTTTCCATGTATATAAATGAAAAAGGCACCTACTTTTTCAATAGGTAATAAGTTGTTTTCTGATATGTAATAAGTTGTATAAAGGGATGGAAAATGACTTACTTTGGGTAAGGGGGTCAAACAGGTGCTTATGCCTAAAAGGAATAACTCAGCACATTTTACCATAAACCATAATAACTCACTATGGTAAGACAGATGCTGTACCATGATTATATTTGTTAACTTGTGAAATAATGACTAAGAGTCTCATGTATAATATTTAAAGAAAGTTAATATTAAATTTTGTTTGAATATTAAAATTCAAACAAAAACATTTCTTGAAACTTTTTCATTCTGAACATACATTTCACTGCTCTAATAAGGTCTAGGCTAGTGGAGATATTAGTTTTGCTTACTTAATTTTAGGCCAGACTCAGACTGTTAGGCTAATAAAGGTATCAGAGTTCTTGGAGTTCATCACATCCAGCCCAATCCTTTTATAAATAGCAAAGCTGAGGCGGAAAGAAGTGATCTGTTCAAAATCACAGAGGCCTATATTCTAGCCAAGGCTCTCTTTTTTGCTATACTGGTCACAAAGGCTAAGGTACATAGTTTGCTGGCCTTAGGAAAATGTGGCCAATATCATTAGCTGCAAATCTAGCATCTACTCTTTTCTTTCTGCTCGCTAATAACAGAAATCCAATTTTGCTTAGAGTGACAATGGGCCCACAGCTAAAAATATCATCTTCCTCAGTTTCCCTTACAGCAAGGGTGGTTTTCCCTTACACTAGGATATGGTGGCTAGAGTCCCAGGAGTCATGTTGTGATAATAAAGTACTTGAAGTTACCTTGATGATGGAAACCAAGCATTAAGGACGGTGCGTAAAGCAAAAGAAGCCTGGACTCTATATGGTGGAGCCACTGTAACAGCCTTGGACTATTTACTTTGGGTTTTCTTTTACTACTACCTGTTTTTCTGTTATTTGCAGTAGAACTCAGTCCTATCTGACACAGGGAAAACAAAGAAATGAGGAACAGGATCCAGGTCTGCTTTTCCAGCCAGTTTGGGACATGAGTGCCCCCTGGTGGCAGCATAGACATTTGGTGTGTATATGGGTTCCACTCATCATCCCTCTGGTTTCCACCACGCATGGTCACCTCCTGCCAAGAAGCTCAGCTCCAGGATCCCTCAATGAAATACCAACTTATTCTTCTAACCCTTGGCCTAACTCTTGACAGGAGTATTTCGGCAGAGACAAAAGTTCCACCTTCGTGTACTAACCCAGACCGTCATTCCTTACTTCTATTTGGTGTGTCAGTCTCAGCTAGGGCCTAGCTCAGGTGCATTACTATTCTGATGACAAAAAGCTGAAGATTCTCTGGAGAAATTTCACTCCCTGGTCAAATCATGGCAAGGAAACAGCATTGATATGGAGCTGTTATCTTAGAAGCTGGCCCCAAATTCACTGCTTAGAATTCCTGATTGATAATAGTTTATCACTTCTTCAAACTGATAAGATAATCACTTGTGCCTATATATTTTAAGAGGACAATTCTTTCCAGGCCAAAAAGGCCAAGCATATAAGATTAGAGTCTGCAACTGAGATAGTAACATTGAACCACACATTCTCAACAGACAGATGTTTATCCAAAGCAAACATGAAGGGCAGATATAGAAGGGAGAAGTATTTGAAATCTAAAAAAACAAAATACTTACTGAGGTATGTCTCCAAAGGTATACAATTCTCTAGGTCATCTTTAGGTGACAGAAGGTTACAAATACTTTCAGCTGTATGGTCATCGGGGAATTTATTCTGATTCCCACATTTCTTGAGAATATCCACACAATCTGATCTTAAAAAGAAAAATACACACAAGTTTGGGGTTCAAGGAACCTCCTCATGTTGTCTAATCAATATCAGTCCTGTTTCTGAAGCTTTCCAGAAGGTGAGTTTTCATAACAATGTTTCACAATTGGTTAGGTCAAAGTAATGGCAAAAGAAAACAGTAGTCATAGAAGACCTAAGGCTGAACAGTGGTAAGTAATGTATTATGGTATCAAAGCATCCCTAGCTTTCTCTTATCTGAGATCAAAGGCCTTGCTCAAATTTTACACTCATACAGTTACTACTATTGATGTGGCGTGTCCCTGTCTTTGAAAGGAAATTAAGCTAAGCTCTTTGCAAAATCATACATCCTTTCTTTCAGGACCTTATGCATGCTTGCTTTTTCCTTCCTCCCTTCCTCCTTCCCTCCCTTTCTCTTTTTAAATATCTTTTTAGTTATCAACATTAAGATGTTTCACCTATAACAACTGGAAGTACACTACTTTAAAATTTTTTCAGTCTTCAAAAGGGATTTGACTCGTTTTCTATACATTTTTCATACTAAGAGTCTATAAATTTCCCACTGGTTGCCTCTAATTGTCGCCCAAATTACCCCTTACACAGGTCATCCCCAAGTCATGCCAGAGAATAGATCTGGTTCCTGTTTAAGGTTGAAGTCATCTGCAAGCAGTCCTCAAGTCCCCAGCAGCACCAAGGCACACACCAACATCTTAGGGGCTGGACGTTAATTTGGTTTTTAGAAAAGTTTTTTTAGAAAAATAGATGTTTAAAGATCAGCTGGCATATATTACAATGTGGCCAATACTTTTGGTTTCACTCTGTATAGCAGCTTTCCTCTTTACTTCATCCTAGATCTCCTAAGCAAACCATTCACAACATGTTTGCTAGAAACCGGTCCCAATGACTACAATCACTAATTCCTTCATTCATCACACATTTACGGAGCACTTATTGTGTGTCAGGATTATGCTAATCACTGAAGGGGAGAAAAAGAGAAAAGAGGAGATAAGAAAAAGGAGGCACAAAGAAGAATAAACTCAAGGAGAGCAAAGTCTAACCAAATGTAAGACAAGTATACAAAATAAAATATAAAAATAGAATTGTGTATTGAAATTACTCACTAAAGGTTTCTGGAACTAAATTCCATAAGAAAAGGTCAAATAAAGGCCTATAAAATTTTGTAGTAAGGATAAATTACTATTAGCTGGAGAAATATGGAAAGGTTCCATGGGAATGACGGGCATTTGAGAAGGGCTAAGAAATATAGGCAGTAGGCAAGTGGAGATGGAGGAGTATCTCAAGCAGAGGAGGAAAAAGTAGGAAAGCACTTGACATGTGGGGGTGATGGGCAAAGGGAAGTGGTGGGAGGGAAAACTCTAAAGATAGGCTGTGGTTCAGATCATGGTCTGAACAAGACTGGAGAGTCATTACCATGAAAGAAACTTACTTGCAAATAATACTTCCCCGTGATTTCCTATGACAAGGTTTAATCTGCAGTGAACAAGCTACTGCTTTCCACATTTCCGGCTGGCACTTCTTAATGTCAAGAACAGGTATGTTGATAAAAGGCATCTTTATGCTTCCTTTTTCCCACAGCTTCATGTCATTCATGGCTCCTTGATCTGACTGAGCATTACAGCTCCTAAAAAGTTCTGTTGGCCTGAAAAGCAAAAAGGCCAGAATTGAGAGGCAATTATTTTCTAGAGAGAAGTAATGGGTAAAATCCTGACATACTAATGCATCAGGAAAATCTGGTGTTTTGAAAGAAAGTACATATGGCGCATCAAAGGATATCAGCTTTGAATGTATGGAGATTCAATGCAGACACATTAAGATTTTGACTGCATCTTTCCTTTTTAATACAAGTTAAAAACTTAAACGCTCTGTATGGGGCTATCATCTCTAGACTTTCATACTACAAAATAAATGAGTTACAAGTTTTAAAAACTGAGGTATAATTTTTTTGTAAAAAGAAAATACACAAATGGGACAGGTGATAGCTATGCTTGTGGTGAACAGGACACAATGTATAAGCCTGTCAAATTACAAAGTTGTAGACTTGAAACTAATGTAACATTGTGTGTCAACTATACGAAAAAAATAAAGAAAGGCACAGATTTTAAGTACAGATTGGTGTGATCTGACAAATGTGTACATTTACATAAACACACCCAAATCAATTAAGGAGCATTTCCATCATGTCACAAAGTTCCCTTGCGTCCCTGTCCAGTCAATGCCCTCCCCATTGACTATACCCCAGAGGCCACCTCCATTCATACCTATATCACCATATATTAATTCTGTCATTCTAGAACTTTATATAAATGAGAACATATTGTATGTACTCTTTTGGGTCTGGTGTCTTTGGCTAAACAATTTTTTTAGATTTACCTTTGTTATATATATTGCAAGTTGTCTGTTTCCTTTTATTGTTGAGTGGCATTCTATTAATAAATGTACCACAATTTGTTTATCCTGGCAGTTCTCACACTTTTGATCTTAGGACCTATTTACACTCTTAAAATTTCTGTATTCTCAAAAAGCTTTTGTTTATGTGGGTTATAACCACCAATATCTATGACATTATAAATCAAAACATCTTTTGATTCATAGTTCCTAATTCATTTAAAATGGGTTTAATAAACCCATTACATGTAAGAAGTAATATTTTTATGAAAAGTAACTATATTTTTCAAAATAAAACTAAAATTAGTGAGAAGAATAGGACTATTTCACAGTTTTGAAAATATCTTTAATATCCGGCTTAACAGAAGACTGCTGGATTTTCATATCTTCTCTTGACTTCAGTCTGTTGTTACAGCGCATTTTTTTAAAGCTTATTTATTTATTTTTGGGAAGGAGAGAGAGAGTATGGGAGGGAGAGAGAGAAGGAAAGAGAGAATCCCAAGCATGCCATCAGTGCAGAGCCTAATGCAGGGCTTGAACTCATGAAATGTGAGATCATGTCCTGTGCTAAAATCAAGGGTTGGTCACTTAAACGACAGCCATCCAGGCACCCCAGTTACATCATCCCAGTGTTTTATATCATTGCGAAAACTCTACTGCTTCACTCTTGGGAGAATGAGAGTGAAAAAAGATAGCAGCTTAGTGTTATTATAAAAATAGTTTTGATCTCACGGGGTTTGGGAACCATGGACCACACTTTGAGAAATGCTCGTTTATTCATTCACCTGTTTATAGACAAAAAGTTTGTTTCCAGGGGCGCCTGGGTGGCTTAGTTGGTTAAGCGTCCGACTTTCGCTTAGGTCACGATCTCGCGGTTCATGGGTTCGAGCCCCGCGTCGGGCTCTGTGCTGACGGCCAGCTCAGAGCCTGGAGCCTGTTTCAGTCTGTGACTCCCTCTCTCTGACCCTCCCCTGCTCACGCTGTCTCTCTCTCTCTCTCTCTCCTAGAAATAAATAAAACTATTAAAAAAAGTTTAAAAAAATAAAAAAAAAGTTTGTTTCCAGTTTTCATGTCTCTTCATGGCTACAAATGGCATTTTTGGGTCATAACTTTCTAAGAAACTGCCAAACTATATTCTAAAGTGGTTACACCATTTTACACTCTAAGCCACGATGTATGAAAGTTCCAGGTGCTTTACGTGCTTGTCTGTCTTTTTTAGTTGTAGATGGGGTTTTAAAAATTGCATTTTGCTGATGACTAGTCACGTTGAACACCTTTTCAGGCACTTATTATTTATTCAGGTATCTTCTTCTGTGAAGTATCTTTCTAGTTATTTGCCCTTTTTAGAAAAAGTTGTCTTTTCACTATTGAGTTATAAGAGTTTTTAATATATTCTGGATATAAGTCCTGCTTCAAATATGTACTACAAATACTTTCTTCCAGTTTTGGTTTGCCTTTTCATTTAAAAAAATTTTTTTTAAGTTTATTTATTTTGGGGCACCTGGGTGGCTTAGTCGGTTAAGTGTCTGGCTTTCGCTTAGGTCATGATCTCGCGGTTCATGGGTTCGAGCCCCGCATCGGGCTCTGTGCTGACTGCCAGCTCAGAGCCTGGAGCCTATTTCAGAGTCTGTATCTCCCTCTCTCTCTGACCCTCCCCTGCTCATAATGTCTCTCTCTCTCTCTCCTAGAAATAAAAATAAATAAATAAATAAATAAATAAATAAATAAATAAATAAAGTTTATTTATTTTGAGAGAGAAAGAGCAAGAGAGAGTATGTCAGTGGGGAAGAGGCAGAGAGAGATAGAGAGAGGATCCCAAGCAGGGTCTTCACCACCAGCACAGAGCCCAATGCAGGGTTTGAACTCACAAACCACGAGATCATGACATGAGCCAAAGTCGGATGCTTAGCTGACTAAGCAACTCTAGCAGCCCTGCCTTTTCATTTTCTTTTTTTTTTTTTAATTTTTTAAATGTTTTATTATTTCTGAGAGAGAGAGAGAGAGAGAGACAGCATGAGCAGGGGAGGGTCAGAGAGGGAGGGAGACACAGAATCTGAAACAGGCTCCAGGCTCTGAGCTAGCTGTCGGCACAGAGCCCGATGTAGGGCTCAAACCCACGAATCGTGAGATCATGACCTGAGCCAAAGCTGGAGGCTTAACCGACTGAGCCACCCAGGCGCCCCTCATTTTCTTAATGGTGTCTTTTGATGAGCAAAATTTAAAAAAAAATTTTTTAATTTATTTTATTTAGCTAAAATATTTTATTGGGATATAATTTACAAAGAGTATAACGGACAGATCTTGAGAGTTAAGTAAGTTTTGAAAATTGTATTCATCCATGTAATCAAAACCTCAAACAAGATATGGAATATTTCTATCACCTCACAGAATTCCCTTATGCCCACTTCCAGCCAATTTCCTCTTCCAAAGGCATTATCTTTCTGATCTTTATCCTCATAGGTTACTTTTACCTATTCTTGGTCCTCATACATACGGAATTACAAAGCCTTTATTTTATATTGGGCTTTTTTCATTCAACATATGACTCATCCATATTTTGGGGTTCATCAGTAGTTTAGCTTTTTTTCCTTACTGTGTACTATTCCATTGTTCAGCTACACCATGATATGCTCTTTCATTCCCTTCTTGATGTACATTTTATTTATTTTCCCCCAAATTCTGGGTTCTTATGAATAAGGTTGCTATATAAGTCTTTTTTGGAATTAGATTTTCATGTCTCTTGGGTAAATGCTTCAGAATGGGATTGCTGGGTCATGAACTTGACTTTTTAACACACTGCAAGGAAACTCTCCAAAGTTCTTAAACCATCTTATATTCCAGCAGGGAACTATGAGAGCTCCACTTGCTTCACATGTTGTCAGTCTTTTTTTTTTTTTTTTTAATGTTTATTTATTTTTGAGGGGAGAGGGAGGGACAGAGAGGTGAATGCGAAGCAGGCTCCAGGCTCCAAGATGTCAGCGCAGAGCCTGACGCAGGGAGCAAACTCACAAACTGCGATCATGACCAGAGCGAAAGTTGGACACTCAACCAACTGAGCCACCCAGGCGCCCCCCGAGACTGTTGGTCTTTTAATTTTAGCTATTCTAGTGGGTGTGAGGAGGCATCTCACTGAGCTTTTAATTTGTATTTTGCATAAAAAATGACAAAGAACTTTTTCGTACATTTAAATGGCTATTTTGATGTCATCTCTGGTGAAAGACCCTTGACATGCTTTTGCCCATTTTAAAAATTGGGTTGGTTAGTTTTTTATTATGAGATTGTAGGAGTTATTATATATTTTGGTTACAAGTCCTCTGTCAAATGTGTGTGAGTGTACACGTGGTACACTGAATATTTTCTCTCAGATTGTGGCTTGCCTTTTCAATTTTTAAATGGTGTCTTCTGGTGAACAAATGTTTACATTTGAACTCTAACTGTAAACATTTTTTCTTTTATAATTAGTACATTCTGTCTCCTATCTATAAAATCTTTGCCTACAGCCAGATTGTCAAGATATTCTCCTATGTCTTCTTCTAGAAGCTTTATATTTTCAGCTTTTATGTTGTGTTCTATGACCCATTTTAAATTAATTTTTGTGTATGATGTGAGATAGAGGTTGAGGTTCCTTTTTTATATATATATATACATATTCAACTGTTCCAGCATTGTTTATTGAAAACATGTTTCTTTTTGCATTGAAATGCCTTGCTACCTTTGTTGAAAATCAATTTACTGTGTGTGAGTCTATTCTTGACTCTCTGTTTTGTCCTATTGATCCATTTGCCCAAACTTATGCCAATTTACATCGCTTTAATTTTCGTTACTTTATAGTAAGTCTTGAAGTCAGGTACTGTAAATTCTCCAAATTTGTTATTTTTTTGAAAATTCTTTTAGCTATTCTAGGTCCTTTGTATTTTCATTTGAATTTCAAAATTAGCCTGGTAATTTCTATTTTAATTTTTAATTTTATTTTTTTTAAGTTTTTAAATTTTTTTTTTTTTTTTTTTTTTTTTTTTGAGAGAGAGAGCACGAACAGGGGAGGGAAAGAGAGAGAGGGAGTCACAGAATCCAAAGCAGGCTCCAGGCCCTGAGCTGTCAGCACAGAGCCCAACATGGGGCTCAAACTCATGAACCATGAGATCATGACCTGAGCCGAAGTCAGACACATAACCGACTGAGCCACCCAGGCACCCCTGGTAATTTCTATTTTAAAAAGCCTCTTGGCGGGTGCCTGGATGGCTCAGTCAGTTATGGATCTGACTTCGGCTCAGGTCATGATCTCATGGTTCATGAGTTCAAACACTTTGTCGGGCTCTGTGCTGACAGCTCAGAGCCTGCAGCCTGCCTAAGATACTGTGTCTCCCTCTCTCTTTCCCTATCCCCTGCTTGTGCTCTGTCCCTCTCTCCTCAAACATAAATAAACATTTAAAAAATATTAAGAAAAATAAAAAATAAAAGTCCTGTTGGAATTTTTATTGGGACTGCACTGAATCTAGAAATCAGTTTCAGGAGAATTAACATCTTAACAATATTGAGTCTTCTAATCCATGAACATGGGAGCTCTCTCCATTTATTTACTGTCTTTAATTTCTTTCTGCAAAGTTTTCTTGTTTTCAGTGTATAGTTCCTAAATATTTTTTGTCAAATTTATCCTAAGTATTTCATGTTTTTTGACGCAATTGTATAAATTTGTATTTTTAAAATAAATTTCACTTTCCAGTTGTTTGTTACTAACACACAGGAATACAATTGGCTTTTGTATGTTAACCTTGTATCCTGTGACTTTGTTAAATTCAAGGATTTAAGGGGAGTTTGTATGGAAATTCGGGGGCATCTCCAAATTTGTGGTTCCCACCTTTCTGGGGTTTGCTACTCCCACAGGTAGCCAATGCAGCAGTCCCAAATTCTGACCTCTAACTCCTCTGCCCAAGACTGCTGATTTTTGTTTGAACTCTTTATGCCATGCAAGGAGACTGAGAGTCCCCATGAGGGAAAACTGGATATGTGGCATTCACACAGTGTGGTTTCTACCCGTCCTGCTTTTGGTCCCTCTCTAATGCCTTAAGACAATAGTTTTTTCAATATTTTAGACAGAGTTCATAATTGGTACCTGTAGAAGCATTAGTCTGATACAAACTATTCCACCATCTCTACCAGCGAGAACTATGTGTCTAAGTTTAACTTCAAACATTTCATAGATTTCAGATTTCCTCAATCTCTAAGCCAAGTCCTTATTGGCTAACATTCTATTACCAGCCATAAAGATATCTCAATTTTCTTGTTTGAAATAATATTCTGAATACTTTAGAAGAATGGGATTTGTGTTAGTTTGAACCTTCTTCTGGCCCAACTGAATGATTTTTTTTTTTCCTCTTTGCCCTCCTGATCTCCAGGCTGCAGCTCACAAAATCAGCCCCCTCTCATTTAGAAACTCTCTCTCTGGCTTCCTGATATGGTGTTCTCTAGGCTTTTGGATGCCTTTGTGTTTTCCTCACTGCTTGTTCAGCCATTAGGTTTTGGGCCCTTGTTTTTCTGACCAGGCTTGATAACCCAAGAAAATACAAGTAGGTAAGAAAATATTTTTGTATGAAATAGGGAACTCACTGAGTGAGACCTTCAACCGCCCTGAAGGTCCTTCAGAGGAGATCGGGCGTGTTCAGGGTGGTAGGGCCCGTAGACATCCTGAAGGTCCTTCAAAGTAAACTGTTCACAAGAGGGCATTTGGATGGCCAAATTGTTCGCAGTGATTTATTCTGCAGTAAATTGCTTCTACTGGTTGTGTAATAGAAGGGAGTGGGTAAGACTGGTAGACTGAAGGCAGAGAAGATTCTTGAATTCTGGGTGCTTTAAGTATCTCTAGTCTAGTCTAGTCTAGTCTAGTCTTGAAGTGCTCCCTTTCCCAGAGGTGACGTATCAGATGGGTTATAGCATTTAAAGACGAAATCATAAAGAAATGCTCCTTCCTTTTAACTTGGCATCCGAGTAAAAATCAGAGTCAAGTGGTCTTTTCAATTACTTAAAAACAAGATAATTAATGACAAAATACTTCCATTCCATGTACAATAATTTGCACCTACCTGTTGTTAAAATTAGTACAGTAAGTAAGATTTCTACAGCCCAACTGGCAAGGTTCCCGAACATCTGCTAAACAAGTCAACATGGACACTTCCATTGGATTATATTCACAAAAGCGATCAAACTCTTGCCAACTCTGTGTATTGCCCCAGCTCATGCTATAAAGTTTCGTGCACAGTTCCCTAAAACAAAGGCACAAATGTAGAAACACAGGTGAGCCAAATGAATACATTGTTTAGAATATGAACAAGAAGAAAGTACAAAAACCAAAAGACTAAAATTTATCTCCTAGAATTTAAAGCCATAAACAGAGCTTCACCATGAAAATGTTAGCCTTCTTTTAATCATCCATCTCTTTCCTTTCTGCCATGGTTGTTAACAAAGCTCAGTGCTAAATGTAATGTTTAATTATAGTATTTGTACATCCTTATTCTTGGCACAATTATTTCTTCTACTTCTGATCCCTCTTTTACCTTTAAAGTAAGATATATCTACACTTATGTTCCAATCACAGAAAGTAAAACTGTGATGTGGTCTTCAGACTTAACAAGCTTTACAGACTTAGGGTTCACTAGTTCTCCCTGAAAAATTACCCCCAAATCACTTATATTCCTTAAGATATACCAAGATACTCTACATGTAAAGGCTTATGTACTCCAAAGCTCCTATATACTATTGTATTTAATACATGACAATCTTATTTGTAGTACTCCATGATTACAAAGCAGCTTGACTACATGCATATAACTAAAATAATATCAGTACCATTTCCAAAGTGCCTTCACATTAGTTTAAGTTTTAAAATTTACAAATGTAATAAAAATGCAAAAAACCATAATGCATATAATATAAAATTTAATTCTACCAAAATACACAAAGTCAGAAGTAAAAATTTTCCACTCCTGCCACATTTTATTTGACTCTTAAAATTAACCCTTTGAGGAGGATGTCTTTACTTTCGTAAGTTTGTTCATTTACTCTGCTGATGTTTTCTGAGTGCCTATTTTGTGTTAGACCCTGTTCAAGGCACTGGATATTCAGTGGTAAATAAGAGAGACAAGGTCTCTGCTCTCAATGGAGCTCATACATCATAGAGATAAAGATGCTGAGATCAAGTTATATTAGGTACTTTGAGCTGGAAACCAGTCCTTTCTCTAGCCCTTAACTTTCTCTATGACCTTGGACAGATGGTTTAATAACATCTCAGAGTTAGTTTTCTATATATAAGCAGGAATTACACAAACTGACACCTATCAGAAGGTGACACAATCATCTTTTAAGGTTTCATGAAGAGAAAATAAGATGGAAATAAACCATAAAACCTTACATCAAGGTAAGGCAGGGCAAAGTGTTTTTTTAGTGAAGTTCTTCTAGGATGATGCAGGGATTCCAATCTCCAGTGTCTTTAGGGCATAAACTCTTTTAAGGACATGCAAAGAATTACTCAGCATCCCTCCCATAAATATATTTATCAATGCCTGTCAGCAATTCAATTTCATTAATTACAGGACCAACTTAACTTCTCTTTAAGATTTTTCTTTGGACATTTTCCAGTTTTTTAAAATATCTTTGGTAAAGTTTGATTTAGTTTGATTATGCTATTCTAAGCATAATTTTTACTAATTTCCATTTGGAAACCACAGAAAAGACTGTTTCATTCTGGTAGGTGATATTCGTTTCAGGATGTTTTAGTAATATGTACTTCCTTTTCACCTAAAATCTCCCTAGTAAAGCAAACTTCTATTTCACCTGTGTTCTACCACAACCTTAGTAATCTCCATTTATTCCTGTCTATAGATAGTTTCTGCCATCCTAAATCTGTATTGTTAATTTTTTTATCCCCAAGTGTATCATCCAAATGAATGCCAGTCCACTGTTCTCTACCTTTGGGTGTAAGTGCCAACACAGATCATGTACCAATATGTGCAAAAGGTTGGTTAATGTTCAAAGTTTCATAATTTAACAAAAAGAATATCCCTTAGATGTCAGATCAAAACATCTTCTAAACTCTAAGCTTACTTAATGATACTTTGGGGGTACAGTCCAAATTACATCATCTTTAAATATTTATTGCCCTGCCAATGCTAATCCTCTATACCCCCAAACACAGTTCTTTTGGCACTTGATGTTCAAAAACAATGTTTTCTATAAATGACACTCAATAAGTAAATGTGAGAATATAACATATATTTGCTAGACTTAAAATCATGAATTAAAGTGCTATTTTCTACTGGTTTTAATAAAGGAAAATGAGATACTGACCTACACATTGAAGTGTTTGCTTTAGAACAACAATGCAATTTAGCCCCATCAAGGCCCGTGGAGGGAGGAGGATGTAGAGTGACTCCAGGGTGAACAGACTGTGAACTTTCAAGAAAGCACTGCCAAAGAGGATCCTGAGGCAAAGGCTGAGTTTTACAACCCTCGATGAGGCCATCAACAATCTCCATTTCTGTCTTCTTAGACATCAGAATTCTCTTGCAGGCACTCTGGCAAGCATAGTCTTTAGCTCTGTCACAGCAATATAAACCTACATTTTTAGAATATATGTGGCTTAATTAGCTGATTTTATGTCACGCACTGCTCAGAACAGAAGAACATGGTGGTGTACTGGAAACACTACTAGTGAGTCATATGTCCGTAGCTGCAGCACACGAGGCCTACCAAATTCTCTCTCCATTACTTGGCAGCACAGCAAATACTGAAGAGCTATAGGTGGATTAGGTATCTATTCCCAGAATTCACCACTGCCCCCAATCATGAGATCTTTAGCATCAATCCTATACCCTATATCAAGTCAATCCTATATCATGAAAGGTCATCTCGTCCTACACCTAAGAAGACCTTACGTGCAAAGTATGTTAAGTTCCTGGAAAAGGTACTACAGATTAAACTGGAATTATTTCATGCTAGAAGCAACTGCCTAAAAGGGATTATGTTCTCGACAAAATGAGAGAGAAGAATAATTTCAATAACAAAAACCACAAACGCCGTATTTCATGACATTCTGGGATGCAAAGCTCTTATATATCTCTCCAAGTTAATTAATCTAAGTTGTAATTTAAACAATATAATAGCAAACTCTGACAAAATATCAGTTTCCTTCTGCCTTTAATTTTCTACAAAGAATCAGAAAAGAAAAGCACTTCTAACCCGATTACAGAATTCAGAAGGGGTTCTTTGAAGTAGTTTTCTCAGGCATCTTTGACTTTTTAAGAAACATATTCAGGCTTATCTTTTTGTAGCTTTTTCTTCTCCAGATTTCCTATGTATCAGTACAGACATTTGAGATGGTTGTTCTTCTAGCTTTAAAACATCTTTCTGGTTTTTGTTTTTATTTATTTTTTTCAGAGCTGTTACCACCTGAGTTCCAGCAGCACCTCTGTATAGCCTAAATGTCAATTTCTACAACTCTGCCTTTCAAATGAATGAAGGTCATTTGATATTCATCCTCTGATATTCATGATACAGTCATACCACAGTATGTCATAAGCTTTAGAATTCTGCTTTAGATGCTGGATATGCAGGGCACATAGCACTGCTTCTGAATTTACAAAAACAAGTCTGTCAGCATCCCAGTATAAATCAAAACATTGGCATTCGGCTTATAAATCTCATCTTTTGTCAGTTTGGTTAAAAAGTCAATCGTTTCAAGTTTGGTCACCTCTAAGTAAAGAAAATGGATTATGGGATGTACAATGCTGAGACTTTGAAGACCCCATAAGGTGCAGGCTCATTAGGAGGCCCTGATTTTCAAAAATATCAGGATCTCTTCTCATTTTAATGATGCTTTTATTATAAAAGTAATAATTGTTCACCATAAAAATTCAAACATCACAAAAACAGACAATGTGGAATATGTATATAACTAAATATGTACCATACTATACACTTAGTTCTACAACTTGCTTTTTTTCTTTATTAGGTCTTGGACTTCTTTCTATATAAACATACTTTTGTCTTTATTTGAGTTACATAGTATTGTTACTATACAGATATATAATTTATTTCATCAATTTTAATCAATACCCTATTGACGGGTATTTAGGTTATTTCTAATTTTTCTTCATTACCATCAGTGTTGTAGCAAACATTTTTTTACGTGTGTAGATAGATTTTTGCAAATTTATGAGTTTTCTTGAAGGAGAAATTCTGAGAAATGGAATTCCTAGGTTAAAAGGTATGATCATTTGAAATTCTCAACTCCCTTTCAAAATATCCATACCAGGGGCTGGATGGTTCAGTCGGTTCAGTGTCCGACTTCGGCTCAGGTCATGATCTCACGGTTCATGGGTTCGAGCCCTGCGTCGGGCTCTGTGCTGACAGCTAGCTCAGAGCCTGGGGCCTGCTTCAGATTCTGTGTCTCCCTTTCTCTCTGACCCTCCTCTGCTCACGCTGTCTCTCTCTCTCTCTCAGAAATAAATAAAACATTTAAAAAAATTCAAAATCTCCATACCAATGAATTCTCCCATTCCCAGAAACAAAGAGTGCTTGCTTCCTTATACCCTTGACAGCTCTTCTTTCTTGGCATCTTTCAGCTGTGTTCATAACATTCAATCTGCCAAATCTAAACACCAAAGGAAGTCTGGTACTTCCCAAATGACCAAGACTGCAGATATCTACAAGAATTTACTTCCTTTTTACAAATTATTTTCCCAAAGTTTGAAACAAGAGGAATATGTCCATTTTACTTACTATCTGTTGGGTTCCTCATTGGATAAGATTGGGTATAATTGTTCACACAGTGTATTAATTGTGGACTAACAGAGGCACAATAGTTTTCCACTGCTTTGATCTGAGACGGGCCAGGAGAAGAGTCTGTTCGAAAGATGGCTTGACAGTATTCTCGGCAATTTGTGTGATGGCCTGCATAACTGCAACAAACTGAGCCCACTAAGGGGGAAAAAAGGAGAAGATGTTGGAATGGAAACAGCTATTGGCTGACAAGAAAGCATCATAATATTGATAGAAAAATGGAGAAATAAAACCATGCCGCAGAAGACAATTACTTTAAATCAACACTACTTTCGGAATAGCCATGAGGACATTCAGGTGCTTACTGGTACAAGAAAGTCTTATTTGTCAACTTAGAATCTACATAGTCCAGTGATTCTCAGCAGGAGCTGCACACCCCTGTGGGAGATTATGGAGATGCATGGAAGTGTTTTTGGTTTTCATGATGACTTGGGGAACTACTGGTGATATTTAGTGCATGGGGACATTGCTCTGCAGTGTACGAGGCAGTTTCACACAGCCAAAACTGTCTCCAAAATTCCCAATACTGCCCATGCTGAGAACCACTGGAACAGCTTCTTTTCATGTTAGACTTGTGGAGATTTACAAACAAAGCAAGGCAAACAAAACCAAAATAAAACAAGACCCCTTTGGGGGTTTTATAAAATAGGTCCAGTAAAAACTAAGAGAGATCAGGCTCATTTCATAAATTTGACACTTATATAACTATATATCTTGAAAAAAACTCAAAAGTTCTGTTCCATTTGAATATCTCCAAGAACATGCCTAAGTTGAAATGCTCTTTAGTTCCCAACTGATGTGACCTGCTTTAATACTGAAAAGTAAAGCCTGTATTTGAAATACATTTCTTGATTTATATATTTTTAGAAATCAAAGCGGGGGACCATCTCAGGTGTCTGGGGAGAGTTAGATGAGTGGCTGTGGGTACAGATGTGGGATTTACACTGGAGAAAAACAAGAGACCCTCACAGGAGAGGTTAAGGGGTCTGTGGGAGGCTGAAGGGAACCAAGATGGAGGTATGGCAGGAAACAGGTAAGAGAAAGGCAGGTAGGAAATCTCTGATACTTATTAGAGGTTATGGAGGAACCAGAATCAGGTTTCTGATGAATTCTACAGACCAGGGAATGAGCAGGGAATCCAGGCAACTTCCAGAAATAATAACAATGATAAAACTATACACAAATTAAGCTAGGACTGAACTGATGCAGGACAGGCCTTGGTTTCCTGCACCAGGAAACAGTTTCCTAATTATTGTGCCACCTGTTTTTAACTTACAATTTACTGTGCTCATTGCTGAACTGTGTCCATTGCTTATAATTTACTACTTACTGTGCTCATTGCTGAACTGTTCAATTTCAACACAAAGAATAATTAATGGCTACATTTATCACTGTTAACCTTAGTGAGGATAAACTGAGGGATGGGGAGGGGAGGAATACTGAGGACATAAGAGATAAGTGAGAATAAGCCAAGGATGCCCATCTTCTGATTCCTCCATGAGGCTGGCTTGCTCACTAATGTGGGAGTACAGAGATTATGTGCAGCACTATCTGGGAAACTGTGAATTAAACCATGCTTCGAGACGGTTAGAAGATAAAGTGTGTAGCCAGCTAATGTTTCTTATTACACTTTGATGAACCGAACTGCCAAGCTAATCTAATCAACTCTTCTGTTCCTCAGCTATGTTTTCCCAACCCTAACTGCCCTCACTACTCCCTTTACCTGGGATGCCTTTCTTCCCATCTCCACTGTCATATCTTGTCCATCCTTCAAGGCCCAGATCAGCTACCAACTCCATGAAGTCACCTCTAAAACCCCGGCAGGATGTGATCCCTCCTTCCTCTGAACTCTTACAGCAAGCACTTTTATCAGTGACACTATCCCATATCCTCTATGTTCTAGAGGTTTTTGTGCAGAGGTTGTGTCCTCATATGCGTGTATGTCTGCACAGAGCCAGCAGTCAGTAAACATCTGCTGAATGAACTGAGAGGCAGCTCTCGGCAAGTGCTACATTATATGACCTGGGAATGCTGAATTTCTGCAAGTAATCCTATTCAGTCAAGTCAGGCATGATATTCCCATCTAACAGTAGTGTCTACTTTGTAAATCTGCATTGCAGGCATAGCAGTTGTCATAATTCATGAATGATCTGGACACCCTAGAGGAAAGAGCCTATGAGAACCCTGCTGGGCCTACAGACAGCTTACTAACAGCCCGCATCATAATGCCAGGTCTTGGCAATACTTCTAACAGCTAAATCGTATTCTGTTAACTGTGTTTTGCTCCTTGGACTGCTCGTATAACCATTGACAAAATACTTACTTTCATTTCTGCTAATGCAACTGAAAAGAGCATTCTGCAAATTAAAGAAAAACAGACAAATTAACCACCACGCAGAATTTCTAATTTTATTCCACTTTATGGTTACATGGAAATCAGAATATCAAACTATTTGATTCTTCTCCAAATCCAAGGCTGAAGATGAAGGAAGTGAGCTGCACCCTGGTGAAAAAAGAAACTACCTTCTAACACATACTGGGGGTCAAGGTCCTCATTCTGAATCATGAGCTGATCATGTTATAGCAAACCAAGTTTATGTAAAGCTGTACATGTGTGTTTATGTGGGGGTGGCCCACAATGTATTAATCTAAATTATTTCTTGGCGTATATAAGAGAGCTCCCAGAAGATAATACACTTAAAGGCATTTAGGGAAATAAGAGATTTCATGTAACCATTGCATTTTAGAGCTGAAAGGTCCTTAGAGATCATCCCTAATTGTTCTCAAACATGGCCATGCACTACAATCACCTGGGCTTCGCAGGCCTTTCTCTACACTTATAGGATCAGAACCTGGGAAGGAACCACTGAAATCTACACATTAAGGCTTCCAGGATGATTCTTATGTAATTACTGAATCACTGTATTGTACTCCTGAAACTAATATTAACATTGTTTGTTAATTATAATGGAATTAAAATAGAAAATAAACAGATGATTCTTATGTAGCCACCCTGGGAAGTTGGGGGCTCTCTCTACCATTTTAAAGATAAACAAACCATTTCCTCATCAGAGGGGAAACTGCCTTAGGTTACAGAGCAAGTCAAAAGCAGATCAAGAGACTAGAATTAGTATTTCTAGAGTTCTTAGATCACTGTTCAGAAAATATCACACTACGTTAAAGTCATTGTAAGGAAAATAAGAGGTAAAACAAGACGAAAACAAGAAATTCCTTGTTCAAAGCCATTTGGATATTCAGAGCTTATCAGCTATGATTAATATCTCTTATAGTAGAAGAGAATGAATTCCTAAAAGTAATAATATGGGCATAAATAAAAGGTAGGTGGAAATCAAGCGCTCTTTTAGTTGAACAGAGATGACTTTAGGTTTCAGTTGTACCTAAATCATAAGCTGGCTATGTGATCTGGACTTTTAAAAGGACCAGCTTTATTGACATTTAAAATCTACCTTCAGGGATCCATCTATGAAGCTGTGTGAAGCTGTACTACATTCATTTTCTCCACTAAATAATATTCTACTGTAGAAATAAACCATACTTGATTTATCCATTAAAAGCAAAACAAAACAAAAAACAAAACAAAACAAAAGCAAAAAACCCAGGCCTCACAGATAAGGGCTAAAGAATTCATCCAGTAGGAATTCTTTCTGCTAGAGATCTCATCAAGCAATATGAGGAGTGAAAAGTAAACATTCTTGGTGTTCTTTAACACTCATTTCTAGATCTCTCTTCATTTATGTTTCTTTCTTTGACTTTTCAAATACCTACTACAGATAGCCATCTATTTTGGTTCAGTGGTTTATGGATCATTTCCATAAAATGATCTAAATCAATATTAAAAGCAATCTGCTACCAACTTTCCAGCCCCCTTTGAGTCTCATTGCCTTTCTCTTTCTAACAAATTGGTTGTTAAGAAATTGGGCTCGGCTTTTTTGATCTTGTACTTGAAGGAGTGTATTTATTTTTTAAGTATAGTTTATTGTCAGGTTGGTTTCCATACAACACCTAGTGCTCATCCCCAACAAGGAAGGAGTGCATTCATTATCTTGGTGGACATCCTGGGTCGCATGGCCTGATCTCCAGTTTTGATAATTCTTCCAGTTACTCATACAAGTCTCCAGAGCAGTTGTTCTCAACTAGGGGTGATTTGCTTCCCAGGGGACAACTGGCAATGTCTGGAGACATTTTTCATTGTCATAACTGGTGTGGAGGAGCAGTGTGTGCTACTGGCATCTAATGGGTGGAGGAGTCCAGAGAAGCTACTAAACAACCTACAGTGTGCATGGCAGCTTGCTGACAACAATAACAACAGCCCAAAAGATCAATAGTGCCAAGGTTCAGAAACCTTGTTCTAAAGACTTCCAAATTTGTTCAAGCTGGATTTTTGGAAATGTGACCTTCCAAATAAAAGAAATATCACTCTGAGTTGACGTGGTAGATCACTTCACTTCAGAGAGATACTTAAGGAAGGACAAAACCTGAAAAATGTCAAGAGATCACCTAATTCAACCCCTTATTTGACCAAAGCCAGAGATGGAGGCCTAAACAGGAAAAATACTTAGATAGAACTCTAGCTCTCACCCACAAATGGGCTGGCAGACTATGGCACATCGGCCAAATCTTGCCTGCTGCCTGCTTTTGTAAATGAAGTTTTATTGGAACAGCCACACCCATTTGTTTATATACTGTATATAGTTACTTTATACTACAAGGTAGAGTTGAACAGACAGAGGCCGTACAAATTGTAAGCCTAAAATATTTGAGATCTGACCCTTTACAGGAAAAGTTTGCCAACCCCTGATGTAGGAGGGCACAACTATCTCCCTCGATGTCACAGCCAGAGTTCAGAAATGTTCCTTAAGCACCTCTCATTTCTCTTAATGTTCACTGATAGACCTTTCATGGATAGGTTCACCTTAATTTATCAAACTAAAACATTCATATTTCAACACAGTAGTACCTCTGGTATTAACAGATACCATTTTTACATCTCTATTTTTATCTTTATTAATTTTAAGGTTTTAAAGGATGGTCCTTCATTTAAATATACCAGTTTTTGAAGAATTCATCAATCCTCTGTTGCTTACTTTATACTCATGATTTCAAACTCTGATCATATCCTCCTCTTTAATAAAGGATTCTTAACCTTAGGTAACTATAATTAGGTATAAACTATACCTTAGCTAACTGTATCTATTATATAAATGATAGGTAACTCTACCTTTTCACTACTTAAACTATTGATTAGTTTGACAGGTCTTAAGACATACACATTAATGAGTTACACTATTAGCTACTTCCAGGTCCCTGCCCTACTCCTGCTGGTTTTTAGAAACTGCCCCAAGCCCTTCCACCCAGCACCGGGAGCAGGCTGACCAGGGGGCAATCTCGGCAGAAAAACTAAAATACAAAGTAAAACCAAAGTCAAGAGAACCATATGTGATCCTTCAAGCCACAGTGACCCTCCTTAGGGGAAGAGCCACTGGGGTACATCTGGGAGGCAGACTTTCCTGGTCTAATCACTTGTTCAGAAGTTGGCTCCGTGGATTTATTTTCTGTCCTGGCCATACACTTTTCCATTTCTGGGACTCCTTTCTAACATTTTTCCACTCGTCTTGATCCTTTCCCTGGCCACCGCCCTTCTACTTCTGGCTGCCCCGCCACCCTGCTTCCACTCCTTCCCCATCCTCACTGATGATGAGGATGATGAAAACAAAACAAACACTGACCACACGAATCTTGTTAAAAAAAAAAAAAGTTTGATTTTAGAAGTTTTAGTCACTTCTGGACAAAGACCCAAAAGAGCACATTTTATAAACTGTTGTGTAATGTTCCCTATTCCCAAGGCTACTTGTTAAAAGTAAAGGAGCTGCTCTGTCCCTAAGGCCTCAATAAATTGTTTCTTTTTCATAAATGGTCTGAAGTTTCTCCCACTTTGAAGTTTTGCATTTCATATGAGGAATCTAGTTCATCAAATGCTAAGTTGGAGATACTCAATAATTAACCTTTATTTTAAGGAAGCTCTAGGCCCGATGTGGGACTTGAACTCATAACCCAGAAACCAAGGGTTGCATGCTCTACAGACTGAGCTAGCCAGGCACCCCTCAATAACTGACCTTTAAAAACAAACATGTTTTTAAACCTCTACAAGATGTCTTTTCCTTGTTGTGGACACTATGGCTTTTTAGATAAAAAGTTAAGTGACGAGAATATGTAATGATTTAATAGCATGATATGGATATCACAAGTGATTCTTCAATTTCTTCAGCCTCCCAAATAATAAATACCATGTTAAGAGTTGGATAAAAAGAAACACCCATAACTAAAATAAGATTAATAGGTCTAGACTGCTCAAAGAAATTTGCTAATTATCACCAGAGCATCCAACCAAGTGGAAGCAAATTCAAGGGCAAGTAATAGCTGCAGAGTAACACAAGATCTAGAACAGAGCTCAGCACGGAGTGTTTGTGATAGAACGACTTCAATGATAGCTCCAATTCTTCACATTTCCCTTCCCTCTATCTGCTTCTCTCACATTAACTCTGGACTTAGCCATGTGATTTGTTTTGGTCAGTGGACAGTGGCAGGCTTGAAGCAAGCAGAGTCCTGCACAGATAGTTGCACTTCCTCTCTTGGGGCCCTGTCACCACCATGGGAACATGACTGAGTTCAAGGGCTAGAAGAGACACATGGAGGAGAGCTGAGCTGAATCCTAAATCAGCTAGGCTCACGCTGACCAGCATGCTGACTGTAGATGCATGAGTGAGCCCAGGCCAAATCAGCTAAGCTTGCTTGGTGAGGTCAGAACCGCCTACCTGGCCTGTAGATTCATAAGAAATGATAAACTGTTATTGTTTCAGGCTATGGGGTTTTTCGATGGTCTGCTACATGTTATTGCGATAACAGACAGAGTATTCAGTGCTTTCTGGACTCACTCAGAGATTGCCTAATTCACTGACATTTATACAAGGTTTCCACATAAAACTGCTATTTACTCTGAGACAAAGAGCCTTGTGTAATTCAGCTGTCCAGAATTGCAAAATTTCTATTAAAGAATTCTATCTATAAAAATACTGACTGTAGCATCTATTTGCAGGCAACAAATTTCTGTTCACTCTTTAAGTCTTACCTGCTCAGTGAAGACTTTCCCATCACACTGGGCATTGTTTGTTTGTTTTCTTCAGGCTGCAATGTGTCTTGTACAGACTTTTGGCAATGTACTAGTCTCACTGTATTGTAATGACCTATTTGAATTTGTCTCTTCCCACAGACTAGGCTATGGGGTTCTTGCCGACAGTGGCTAAATCCTTCTGCCACATACCTTGAGAACAGTGCCTGA